TATCAAATAACGAGCATCCTCAAAGAGATTTTCGAAACGACCTATAAAGTCATAGTTTACAGCACAGGGATGACATAGTTTGTCAAATGCTCCCCAGTGTTCATCCCAACTTCGTGTTTCTACCAGATACTTCGTGAATTCCGGAAAAGTCACACCACTGCCTGTCTCAAGGGCCTGCTTTGTTGCATTAGGCCTGCATCGTTTGATGATATCTCTACCATACGCTCGATGAAAATACTTGTTATCTTTCACAAATTTATCCTTGTAAGCGGAAAGCACCCGCTCCATAGGATCCCGGACAAATAGGAACGTAAAAGAGTTCTTAAGCATTGGTTCCACTTCTTGTCGAGGGAATTTTCTGAGATCGTTTTTCAAACTGCCTTTATAAATTTGCTTGTCATCTTCTACCAAGGGTGACAGTTCCTTTTTCCATCGTGAGCTTGAGACTTTGGGTATAAAACAGTAAATAACTTTCCTGCTACGAAAGATGTTGAAATAATGAAGATCCTTCCCAAGTACAGTGTCGGCGTTACGTTTGTGCCTCTTGCAGTAATCTTGGACTCGAGCTCTTCGTTCTTGCAAACGAATTTCCATCCTCAAACTCTGATTGATGCTAGCAGAATCCTGTCTGTAAATGATGTTAATTAAAATTATTAGAAGTACACTTTTAACCATCATTAGTTTAACCATCATTAGCTGAACTTGAGTTGTAAGGCCTAATGAAACCTTGAAACAAATCTGGATTGGCAAACTTTTGGCCACGCGAGTGGCCGTTTATTAAATCAATAAAGTCTACAGCATTTATTTGCCAATCACTCATCCCTAAGGAAGAGCTAACCTTTAAACGACCCCGTTCTCAGCAAAGGTGAGGGTGAAAACCGCTGGCGAGCCCCAGAATAAGACTATATGTACCGGAGGAGACGGGGTGGAGGAGGGGATGAAATTCCAGCACGATGCTTTCTTCAATCGACGTGAAGGGAGAGAAAGCGCATGGAGGAATGTGACGTCATAACCGGCTGAAGTACCGGAAGCCCCTCAGGCGGAAGTGAGAACGGAGTCATAAGAAGCATCATAAAACTATTTATTTTACCTGGTGAAATAAATCTCCTTTAAGGTAAGAACTAGCAAGCAGTTGTATCAATGTCCCAGATGACTCACGGAAAATGCTTTATTACCTGTAGCAGCTCTTTCGTTTCAAGCAAAGTCTTAATTGCATTCCAGACTGCTTTGACTGTTGGCCTTGATCCTGCCAAATCAAAAGAAAATGCTACTCATATATGATGAAACAAGACTGGGAGCTGTTTTGAAAATTACTCACTGAACTTTCTCCGTCAATGGCTGATCTTTTTAATGTTGCCCCCGCAGGGTTTTGGCCCAGAGGCCAAAACCCGAGGAGGCACGCTAGGATTCCCCACGTGTATACATACAAAGGATTTCAAAAAAGCAAGAAATGTGTTTGTAGTCTGCGAACCGTTCTCGATTTGATGAAACTAGGCGCGCAAGGTGGTCTTGGGTAATGTGGGGCAAGGAACGCGGGCTCACAAAACGGCTGGAAATCGAGCTTAGGTGGGGTGTTGGTCGGTGTTGATTACATGAAATTCTTGATTTCAAGGTTCTTGCAACCACGAGTTCGCGTTTCACCATCTTCTAACAGCATTTCAAGGCTCTTGTAACCACGAGTTCGTATTTCGCCATCTTCGAGCAGCATTTCAAGGTCAAAAATACACTCCAATTACAATATGGTCTGCATAACGATTTTAGCGCGATCAAGTAAATTCGCTTCGAAATGGCAGAGATCCTCATCTAGGACAAGTTGAAAACGATTTCAAAGATCCTGAAGATGGATTTTGGGAGAAAAACAACTCGGAAGGTATCTTAAGAGATTTTGAAGTATACTAGAAATTAAAGGCCAGTGTGGTTCAATTGCAACTAAATAGCTAAATACTCTTAATTCCGATCGCCAGCTTTACCTTTGGCATCTCGTTTATTCGGATCGCTTATTTGTATTGAGTAATTCTACGTAGCGCAGAGCTCATGTGTGGGCTGGGTGACTTTGCAGGGATCCAAATATAAATCTAAATGTTTTGCAGCGTTTTCGTTGAGGTCAGAAAGCTTGACTCAAATTGCATATATGGTGACTGTAACACGATACTTCTGTTTACGCCTCGGAAAAAAAAAACCGACTTCCGTTCTGCTATCGAGATACGTTTGCTCGTATATCAAGACAAATGGCTTGTTTCAGCATTAAATTGGAACAGCATAGTAGTTTGACTTAATTTTTTGTTTCGCTATAATTCTTTAAGCTTTTTTCCCCTATATTAAAAGTTCTACTGAGTGAAATTTTTGTAAAAGAAATATTAGTTTCCATGAAGGCAACCTATTTTTTTTTCCATGAAGTACTTTTTGCGTCCTTTCTAACGGGATAATTTATGGTTAACTGCTCTGCTGTAAATGCTCTCGCGAGAGTATTATGTAAAGAATATCATGTGATAGAAGGAGTTAAACAGAATGTGTTGGTTTAGCTAACTTAGTTGATTGTTTGGATCATATTCATGGTAAGATGCCTAAGTTACTGGAACAGTATGAATTCATACACAAATGTTCAATACTATTGTTTTCAATCAGCAGAAATAAAAGAGAGCGGGGGGCAGATTAAGTGATAACTATTACTAGTATGTTTCTAGTCAAATAAAAAAAAAAGAAAGGAAGTCTTGAGCAGTACAAGACCGAAGGATTCAAGCAGAGCTCGAGAATGCGTCATTGCAAAACATGTATTCCTTAGCAACCGTTTTCGTGGATTTGCACACGTGCCTTTCCGTGACTTAGCGCATGTATCGCTATGTAAATCGCCCTGAGGCTTAAAAAGAACTACCTTGGAGAGAACCGATTTCTGTCTTGAAACTCCGGCGTGTGTTGCAAAATTTTCGTTCATTGGTAATGATTTTATATATTTTACAGGTCGTGGTCGTCCTCGACACGTTCACCTTACTATCGATTACTGCATAATTTGCACTTTTGAATATATATGATCTGATATATCCATTCCTTTGCTTTTAGAATTGAACCTCTTCATCCGTGACACTTCTCCCTATAGCCGTCATCACTAAATTTAACCATCAAAGACATGAAAGTTTCACCGTCAACCACTGATCAGAGAGCTGTATCTTGAAATGCCAACACTCGTCCAAGGTCGGTAACGCTTTAAAGCAAGATCTTCTTATGTCTTATATAAGCTATGGCATGCTCAAAAGCAGACCACTGATTAATTTACGCCTCATTAAACTGAGCTCTCAAGAGCAGTTCGATTAACAGAAAATTCCGGGATTGAAAACAATCTATGATCAAGACTGATTCTTGTAAAGAACAGATTGCACTTGCTGCATCGCACAATTGTATTGAAACAGGATGAAGAAGAGATTACACTTGTTGCATCGCACAATTGCCCAAAATCATCAATCTCGATCAAACGGATATGTAAAAGGCCGCTATATAGGCGAGAACATCACATTGATTCCAGATGTCATGTTTCTCACTAAAAGCTTTAATATGCCAGGTATTGCATTTTTTTTTGTTTTTGATTTTCGAAAAGCTTTTGACACAATAAAATGGAACTATCTATTATCCACGCTTAGACTGTTCAATTTTGGCCCAGATATTCAAAGGTGCATAGAAGACACCTACCACAATGTATCCAGCTGTGTCCTAAACAATGGTCACGCTTCACCTTTTTTCAATTGCATCGAGGCGTCCGGAAAGGATGCCCCTTGTCGGGCCTTCTTTTTGTAATTGGTATTGAGCTTTTCGCAAAGGCTTTTAAAAGTAACAATGACATCAAAGGCATTGCTACTGGCGGAAAGGAAATGAAAGTCACCCAATTCGCGGATGATACAACAGTGTTTGTTAGTGACCATCAGTCTGTTATCAACCTTTTGAAGCTTCTACGTGAATTTGAACACACCTCCGACCAAGAAATAAACACGAGCAAAACAGAAGCGATGTGGCTTGGAGCCTGGAGAAGCAAAACTGATATTCCATATAATTTTAAATGGCTTCAAGAACCGATTCAAGCTCTCGGCATTTTCTTTTCGTATAATTCCGACGCTGCAAATGATCTGAATTTTGGAGAGAAAGTTATCAAATTGAAAAATACGCTTAAAAATTGGAAAAGAAGGAAGCTTACCTTCCATGGCAGAATCAGAATAGTGAAAACTCTAGGTTTGTCGAAGCTAATTTATAACACCTCTGTGCTCGAGTTCCCCGATTCTTACGTCAAAGAAATAAACAAACTAACTTTCAATTTTATATGGGAAGTAAAACCAGCCAAAATAAAAGGAAAGACCATAATAAGTGACATAAGTCAAGGAGGGTTGAGAATGATGGATTTTGAAGTCATGGCGACTAAAGCGCTGAAAATTGCTCGGATCAAGAGAATCACCGAACACGTCCACCCAGCATGGAAAATAATACCAGAGTTCGCCGCTGCCAAATATGGCGGTTTATCTTTTCTAACAGAATGTCAGTAGGATATCAAACATCTCAGCCCCGATAACCTTCCACCTTTTTACCACACTACTTAAGAGTTGGCAAAAATACAACGCTGACAAATTTTCGGAGGACTACCGTATTCAAAACAAAATCATCTGGAATAATAGTCGCATCCTGATTGGAGACCGACCAGTTTTTTTTCAAACCCTTATTTGAAGCTCAGATTATACGTATTAAACAATTTTTAAAAGAAGATAGCACCTTCCTCTCACTGGACGAGCTCACTCGCAAAATGAACATCAATATTCCGTTTACACTGTACTATGGCCTTATCGCTGCCATTCCTACAGAATGGAAGAAATTTGCGCCAAAACGCTCCTCTTGAGGACTTTCCGTCGACCCGCGTGGCCTACGCTACACTTCTAGGTAACAACGTAAGTCCACCGACACCAGAGAATAGAATTCTAAATTACGGTTTGTCCAAAGAAAGCATCCACAAAGTGTACTTGTTGCCTCTCTTAATAACCATAGATTCGAAATTTTTTTCCCTTTCAGTTTAAAATAATACACCACATTTTACCTACCAAATTCAGCCTTTTTGGAGCTGGCGTTACTGAAAGAGACATTTTTTCCTTATGCGCCAATGAAAAATTAACAATAAACCACCTACTGTACCACTGTACTGTATCTAAGGCTTTCTGGGATAGATTCACCAACTAGTGGTACCAGAAATTTAAACAAGTGGCAATTGTGACTGAATCTAACATCCTATACGGTTGGCATAATAACATCAAAAATAAACAGGCATTTAATGTCACTCTTCTTATTGAAAACTTCTATATCTTCTTGACAAGTTCATGTGATGGCAACTTACGTTTTGAAGGCTTTTTTCTCCGCCTCCAAGACAAACTTGATATTTTAAAGCAAAGTTAAACGGCCCAAACGGCCCAGCTGCATAAATTCTTGAACATCTGGGGAAAATTACTATAAATTTCACTCGGCTTCGTCCTTTTCTTTTCACTCTCTCTTATTGTAACTC